TCTAGTTTGATTGTACTGTGGTCTGAGAGACAGTTTGTTAACATTTCTGTTCTTTTACATTTGCTGAGGAGTGCTTTACTTCCATCTATATGGTCAATTTTGGAATAAGTGCGATGTGGTGCTGAGAAGAATGTATATTCTGTTGATTTGGGGTGGAGAGTTCTATAGATGTCTATTAGGTCTGCTTGGTGCAGAGCTGAGTTCAATTCCTGGATATCCTTGTTAACTTTCTGTCTCGTTGATCTGTCTAATGTTGACAATGGGGTGTTAAAGTCTCCTGTTATTATTGTATGGGACTGTAAGTCTCTTTGTAAATCTCTGAGGACTTGCTTTATGAATCTGGGTGCTCCTGTATTGGGTGCATATATATTTAGGATAGTTAGCTCTTCCTGATGCATTGATCCTTTTACCATTATGTAATGGCCTTCTTTGTCTCTTTTGATCTTTGATGGTTTAAAGTCTGTTTTATCAGAGACTAGGATTGCAACCCCTGCTTTTTTTTGTTTTCCGTTTGCTTGGTAGATCTTCCTCCATCCCTTTATTTAGAGCCTATGTGTGTCTCTGCATGTGAGATGGGTCTCCTGAATACAGTAAACTGATGGATCTTGACTCTTTATCCAATTTGCCAGTCTGTGTCTTTTAATTGGACCATTTACTTCATTTACATTTAAGATTAATATTATTATGTGTGAACTGGATCCTGTCATTATGATATTAGCTGGCTATTTTGCTCATTAGTTGATGCAGTTTCTTCCTAGCATCGATGGATTTTACCTTTTGGCATGTTTTTGCAATGGCTGGTACCTGTTGTTCCTTTCCATGTTTAGTGCTTCCTTCAGGATCTCTTGTAGGGCAGGCCTGATGGTGACAAAATCTCTAAGCATTTGCTTGTCTGTAAAGGATTTCATTTCTCTTTCACTTATGAAACTTAGTTTGGCGGGATATGAAATTCTGGGTTTAAAATTCTTTTCTTTAAGAATGTTGAATATTGGCCCCCAATCTCTTCTGGCTTGGAGAGTTTCTGCCGAGAGATCTGCTGTTACTCTGATGGGCTTCCCTTTGTGGGTAACCCGACCTTTCTCTCTGGCTGCCCTTAACATTTTTTCCTTCATTTCAACTTTGGTGAATCTGACAATTATGTGTCTTGGAGTTGCTCTTCTCGAGGAGTATCTTTGTGACGTTCTCTATATTTCCTGAATTTGAATGTTGGCCTGCCTTACTAGGTTGGGGAAGTTCTCCTGGATGATATCCTGCAGAGTGTTTTCCAGCTTGATTCCATTTTCCCCATCACTTTCAGGCACACCAATCAGACGTGGATTTGGTCTTTTCACATAATCCCATATTTCTTGGAGGCTTTGTTCTTTTCTTTTTACTCTTTTTTCTCTACATTTCCCTTCTCGTTTCATTTTATTCATTTGATCTTCAATCACTGATAATCTTTCTTCCAGTTGATTGAGTCGGTTACTGAAGCTTGTACATTTGTCACGTAGTTCTCATGTCATGGTTTTCATCTCTGTCAGTTCTTTTAAGGTCTTCTCTGCACTGATTATTCTAGTTATCCATTCATCCATTCTTTTTTCAAGGTTTCTAGCTTCTTTGCGCTGGTTACGTAATTCCTCCTTTAGCTCTGAGAAGTTTGATCGACTGAAGCCTTCTTCTCTCAACTTGTCAAAGTCATTCTCCTTCCAGCTTTGTTCCATTGCTGGCGATGAGCTACGTTCCTTTGGAAGGGGAGATGCGCTCTGATTTTTTGAATTTCCAGCTTTTCTGCACTGCTTTTTCCCCATCTTTGTGGTTTTATCTGCCTTTGGTCTTTGATGATGGTGACATACTGATGGGGTTTTGGTGTGGGTGTCCTTTCTGTGTGTTAGTTTTCCTTCTGACAGTCAGGACCCTCAGCTGCAGGTCTGTTGGAGTTTGCATGAGGTCCACTCCAGACCCTATTTGCCTGGGTATCAGCAGCGGAGGTTGCAGAAGATAGAATATTGCTGAACAGCGAATGTTGCTGTCTGATTCTTGCTCTGGAGGCTTCGTCTCAGGGTGTACCCTGCCGTGTGAGGTGTGATGTGTCGGTCTGCACCTAGTAGGGGATGTCTCCCAGTTAGGCTACTCAGGGGTCAGGGACCCACTTGAGCAGGCAGTCTGTCTGTTCTCAGATCTCAACCTCCATGCTGGGACATCCACTGCTCTCTTCAAAGCTGTCAGATGGGACTTTTACATCTGCAGAGGTTTCTGCTGCTTTTTGTTTAGCTATGCCCTGTCCCCAGAGGTGGAGTCTACAGAGGCAGGCAGGCCTCCTTGAGCTGCAATGGGCTCCACCCAATTCGAGCTTCCCGGCGACTTTGTTTACCTACTTAAGCCTCAGCAATGGCTGGCGTCCCTCCCCCAGCCTCGCTGCCGCCTTGCAGTTAGATCTCCGACTGCTGTGCTAGCAATGAAGGAGGCTCCATGGGCGTGGGACCCTCCAGGCCAGGTGTGCGATATAATCTCCTGGTCTGCCATTTGCTAAGACCCTTGGTAAAGTGCAGTATTAGGGTGGGAGTTACCTGATTTTCCAGATGTTGTGTGTCTCAATTTCCCTTGGCTAGGAAAAGGAATTCCCTTCCCCCTTGCGCTTCCCAGGTGAGGCGATGCCTCGCCCTGCTTCAGCTCTTGTTGGTTGAGCTGCACCCGCGGACCAGCATCAACTGTCCAACACGCCCCAGTGAGATGAACCCAGTACCTCAGTTGAAAATGCAGAAATTACCCGTCTTCGGTGTCGCTCACGCTGGGAGCTGGAGGCTGGAGCTGTTCCTATTCAGCTATCTTGGGCACCAACCCCCTCACTGCAATTTTAATTTGCATACATCATTACCTTCTGCACTATCAAAATGTCTATGCCTGTGCTGTCCGGTACAGTGGCCACGAGCCGTGTGTGGCTATCCAGCATTTGAAATGAGACTGGTGTGACTAAGAAACTGAATAATTATATTTTATTTTAATTAATTTTAAATAGATACATTGGACAGAGTAGCTTCAGAGCAGAGTAAGGTATGAAAGAGTTTGGAAAGTGTCAAAAGGGGATATGAGACGTATTGCTGAGAAATTATGAATTGGAAGGTCTCTTTATTAACGATTGGAATTTTTGTTATTTTGTTTTTTAATTTTTAAAATTACTTTTTAAAGTGATAAGTTTTTACTAATTAGTTTTGAATCTATGCTTTTTTTTTTTCTTGAGACAGAGTCTTGCTCTGTCACCCAGGCTGGTGTACAGTGACATAATCTCGGCTCACTGCAAGCTCCGCCTCCCAGGTTCACACCATTCTCCTGCCTCAGCCTCCCGAGTAGCTGGGACTACAGGCGCCCACCACCACACCCGGCTAATTTTTTGTATTTTTAGTGGAGACAGGGTTTCACCATGTTAGCCATAATGGTCTCGATCTCCTGACCTCGTAATCCACCTGCCTTGGCCTCCCGAAATGCTGGAATTACAGGTGTGAGCCACTGTGCCGAGCCGAATCTATGCGTTTTTAAAATTACATTTGGATTGTGTTTCCTCAAACAAGACTCTCCAGAGAAAGCAAGCCTGGTTAGCCCTGGATATCTAATGGTTGTAGTGGGTGGAGAGGCATCTGGGCATATCTGGTCTCTGCTTCTCCTTCTCTCCATGGCAGCACTGGCTCCCAGGTCTCAGCACTGCCTTCCCAACCCCTTCTCCTACCCAGGGTGGAGGGCCGGCTGCCCTCACATCTGCAGGGCCCATGGTAATATGTCACAATATTTAAAAGAAATACAGTAAGCTAAAAATTAAAATAAAATAGTTTCCATCCTTTTACTTGTAAAAATATGTCTTCAGAATGATCTAAAAGATTTGGAATGTTCGCAAGAGTTTCATGCCAGAGAATTGCAGCACTGAGAAATCTGGATCCTGGTCTCCAGCCCATCTCTTTTCCCCATTCCACATTCCCCTTCACTGTGAAGGCCATCGTGATCATGTGTGTGGACACGCCAATGCTGAATTTTAAACTCCCCACTCCCACCACCTCTGACAACTGCTTGGTTAGACCTCAGTCTGTTTGAACAAGAAATCCCAGGATTCTTGGTAGCCAGGCAAGGTGGGGAAAGGGCATACAGGACCCAGGTGGGCATGTCCCCTTGGTGTCACATACTACTCATCCCTTAGGGGTTAACAGAGGCAGAGGAGGCCCTGGTTTTGGGGAGGTGAACAAATCAAAACCACCTTTTGATAGCCTAAGAAGAATTCTTCAGGTAAATACTATGGCTTTTACTCCTTTTTTCCCCTTGCTCTTAATTTTCCACAGATTTCCACCTCTTTATTCATAGTCCCCTCCATTCTCTGCTCTGTGCCAGGACATCTTTCACTGGAACAGCCAAGCCCTCTGTTTGCCCATGACAGCAGGTGGCAGCAGGAACACTGGAATGGAAGCAGGGAATCAGTCGACCTATGTTCACTAGGACATTGTTATGGAGCCCCAGAGGCAGAGTGTGCAGGAGAAGCCAAGGCTCTTTCTTGTCAGTTTGGGCTCCTTCTTTGAGTATCCTGTGCGTGCTGCCACCCGTGACCTTTACTTGTAAGACCACATTATTCTGTGTAAGTGTTTGGAAGTAGACCTTTTCCAGGCCTCCTCTCAAAAATGTCCCTTTTTCTGTGAGGCCTTTCCTGGCCGCCCCGTAAATTACATCCCTACCCTGCACATCCTGTCCTGTTTTGTCTCTCTCCGTAGTATTTATCGTCATCTGACATATCACATTTTTTTCTTCTTCATTTGTTTTTTTCTGCGTCCTCCATCTGAAAATGAGCTCCATAATGGCAGGGATTTTTATAATAACTCTAGTGTTGTTGGATGCATTTGAAAGTGTCACATGAGGAAGGCAGGGGTGAGGATTAGGGAAGGGTGAATGGGGTGGGTGGATCTAGTTCTAGTGGCTGTTCTATAAGAATGAGTACATTTACTTATCAATGGCAAATAACTAGCCTGTTTTCTATCTTTTTTTAACAGTTTCCTGGGAGATTATGATGAGTGACCTAGAGGAGAAGGATGTGGATGAATTCAGCTCCAGTGGCTTTAAGTGCCTGACATGCTTTGCAGTGCAGGGAAGGAAATGTGATCCAGAACTCAAATGGTGTGCGGCAGATAAAACAAAGTGTATTGAATTCTCTGGCATCATCAACACAGGTACTTTTCTCGGATGTACTGGTATTCTCTCCCAAGCCGATGGGGTCTGTGTTCCAAGGGTAAGGTAGAGGAGAAATCAGCTTTTGTCCAGATCTCTTAGAAATGAGGACACAGCAGTGGTCTGACTCTTAAGTATGTCCAACTGGCTTTCTCATATTCACTCATTTTTGAATTGATATGTGCATTCATTGACAGGCTCTCTGCTAGCTTGGAGGAGGAATCGCCATCTTCTGCAAATTTTGTTTAGGTTTAAAAAAAAAAGAAAAAACCCAGGGGCAATGTGTGCTTTTTTCCTCTCTGTTGTTGTTGTTGTTGTTGTTGTTTAAATTTTCAAAATAAAGGCTTTGGAGAGAAGCAATGACCAAGCTTAAACTTTCCTCGAAGAGATTGCAAATTATATTTTACTATGCTTGCTTTAAGAAAATACAATACAAAATTCTAAATTAATTGAAGACATTTAACTGAGAATTGAATTAGGAGTGATAGTGTGGAATAGCACGAAATGCAGTGGGCTGAGTTCCATGAGGGTTGGGTTGTTTCCGTAATTCCTCTTTACCTGCTCATATCCTCCTGCTGACTCTAGGGAGCTCCCCCTTCCTGAAGTTCATCTAAGTGAGGCAACTACAGAGGCTAACCATATTGGTTGGCCTCTTGGATTCTTATGTTTCTACTTTCTGTAATTTGCATAACAAAAGAGGGATGTATTTGCTTTAAAATAGCAATCTCTCGATTGCTGTTGACACCCCGGAAGAAATAAGATGAAATCATCAAGAGCATAGAATATGTGCCATGTGAAAGAATGTGTCTGAAGGTGCTTTGAAAGGCAGGGAACACAATCACAGTCATAGCTTTTTTATGTCTAGCTAGTTCTTAAACGATAACTCTGACCAAGAATAAGAGATTAGATTTATGTTCCTAAATTTACAAAGAGTCTATGTAACTGAAACACAGACACGCCAACTACCCTGAGTATCAGTAGCATACAGAATACTCCTAACAAAGTCATTAGGACTTCTTACTACTGTTGGCGTAAAGTGTCTATAAAAGCGTATGCTATCCCAAGTGGTAATATAAGTTGGAGAAAAGTTCATATAAAGTTTAGAAAATATGCCAATATGTGATTGACGTAGATTTTTAAAAGATTTAAGAATTTGGAAGTCCTGTGTTTGGAGGACACATTTCCAGCTCATTGCCTCTGCTACAGAGAGCCCTGTCAGGTGGATCACACCAGAGTGTGACTTGACTTATATCCTACTCCAGCCCAGTCTGTATGGGTAAAATGCTGAGTATAAGGAAGGAGGAGAGAGTGGACATCTCACTTACGGTTTCTTGCAGGTATTCGTGATGTAGCCGTTGAAATGAAGAGATGCATACAAGCAGACCTATGCAAAGAGACGATAACTTCTTATATGGGTTTTCCAATTGCTAACAAGAGTAGAAATTGCAAATCAGCCATCAGAAACGGGGCCAGAATCAGACCCCCATCTCCCATCTTCTTTGTTCTCTTCCTGGGGAGGGTACTTCATTGAGTTCTGGCAAGGGCCTAGCCACTTCCATTTATGAATTAAACCTGCATTTTTTTGTTTATGTATTCTTTCATGAGTGTTAATTTCTCCATAGTTACATTTAGTTGTTGGTTTATTTACTCATTCAGTGAGTTTACTTGTTGTGTATCCAGCCTTGCATAAAGTGGGTCAGGGTCGAAGCAAATCAGCTCTGGGTCTTGCCTTTAAGGTCCCAAAGCATTTAGAGAATGAGGACATGTGCAGTTCAAATGCTTAGAAAGCAATTTAAGAAGTACATAAAAGAGCAGAAGCGCTCTGCTTAAGGAGCCTGAGGGATTGGTTTGGTCATTGGGTAAAAGTAGAAGACTGTGGGTTTAAGGAAAGATTAGGATTTTAGATGGACTTTGAGGAGACCTTAACTATGTGGAGACATGGACACGGAGAGGTGGGCGGAGGCTAAGATGCAGTAGCTGAAATTAATGGTAGGAGGAGTGGGGGAGAGGAAAATGTCAGTAAATATATGGGCCTGGCTGGAAGCATCTTTCTGTGAGGGATGGAAAGTGCTGCCCTAGGTGAACAGGGTGGACTCACTGAGCTGAGGACAAGCCGGCTCTGTGATGGAAAACAGTTCCCTTCAATCCACCAGAGAGATGATCAAAAGCCAAGGTCCCTGGTTCTCACTGCTGACTACTGTTTGTTTGTTTGTTTGTTTGTTTGTTTGTTTTAAGACGGAGTCTCACTCCGTTGCCCAGGCTGGAGTGCAGTGGCGCAATCTCGGCTCACCGCAAGCTCTGCCTCCCAGGTCAAGCGATTCTCCTGCTTCAGCCTCCCAAGTAGCTGGAACTACAGGCACGTGCCACCACTCCCAGCTAATTTTTTGTGTTTTTATTAGAGATGGGGTTTCACCATGTTAGCCAGGATGGTCTTGATCTCCTGACCTCGTGATCCGCCCGCCTCGACCTCCCAAATTGCTGGGATTACAGGCGTGAGCCGCCGTGTCCGGTCCACGGCTGACTACTTATTACAGAATCATCCAGGAGCTTTAAATGAGAGTGCTCATCCCAGGCCCACTGCCAGAAATTCAGATTCAGCTGATCTGGGGTGAGCCTGGCCTTGCTCCCACATTTTTGTCCTTTGTGTTGTTTTAAATGCCCCCTAACCAGGGTGATTTTAATTTTCAGCTACTTTTTTTTTTTTTTTTTTTTACTATTTTTTTAAATAACTGAAGTATGAGTAAAAGGCCATAATTTATTTTACCCAAAGTGAAAGACCTCCAGTTAAAGCCAACCGACTATAGCATGTAAAACAGAAGATTGTTTAAATGATATCAAATGTCAGTTGATATAAAGTTTGAAAAATTGCAAGTACTCTTCTTTAACTTTAGATTAGTTGTGTAATACAAGAACACTAACCAAATTAATGGCTTTTGTTCTCAAAGGACTTCCTAATTTATGGAGAAATGTCATCATGACCCCAAAAATCAAACTCATGGCATAAGTACATTTTAATCTTTTATATCTCTCAAAGAAAAAATTTCAGCTAAATGTGATTATATTTGTTTCTCTCATGACAACTTGTACTCCAGATATATGAAGTCAAATATCAGGATTTATTGGAATTTTAAAACAAGAGGCAAATGCTTTTATTCATAGCTTTGTTCTCCTGAAAATTTTTACTCTCAGTTTTCTCAAACAGACTCTATGAAAAGTGTCATGGATAGAGTTTTTTAAAATCCTTGAGTTTATATGTGTCAGTGCCTTAAATCGCCACCAGTTTGTGGAATAATTAGAAGACAATGAATTTAATGAACGTGTGTTCTTTGCCAATGCTCGTTGGATGAATCATGGAAAAGTTTTACAAAGATTTACTATACTATTAATTCCAATTCACGATTTTCTTCAAACAGAAGGAATACTTGCCAAACATTTAATAATCAAAGACCACAATAGGCAATGTAATTTATGTTTTTTCATTGATGTTACATTTCACACATGAGCTGAAATTTAGCCTCCAGTCAAAGGAAAAGCTTATTTGTAAACTTGGTAAAAAGATATGACAATTATATTGAAATGGAAACTTTTTACAAGACAAACAATAATGATTTCACACACTTTTAACTTTTTTTTTTTTTTTTTTGAGACAGAGTCTCTCTCTATCATCCAGGCTAGAGTTCAGTGGCACCATCTCAGCTCACTGCAACCTCTGCCTCATGAGTTCTAGCAATTCTCCTGCCTCAGCCTCCCAAGTAGCTGGGATTATAGGTGCCTGCCACCACATCCGGCTAATTTTTGTATTTTTTTAGTAGAGACAGGGTTTCACCGTTTTGGCCATGCTGGTCTTGAACTCCTGACCTCAAGTGATCCACCCACCTCAGTCTCCCCGAGGGCTGGGATTACAGGCGTGAGCCACCGCACACTCTTTTAGTTTTTTAACATTCTAATAGGCAGAAGATTTTGATTGTCATCAACATTGTTATGTAAAGTGGCTGTAAAAACTATAAAAACATTAAAACATTCTGTTGGTGTTTATAAATTTAGAGTTGATTTTCAATTTTTGTGATAACTGTTTTATTATGTTCGTAATACTGAGTGGACACAGAGTTAATGAAGTTACTTAATTTGGATGAATTTAGTTTTGAAATTGATATGAAGTGAGAGTTCACTTTCCATGAAATCAGGAGAGTGATATCACCAAGATGACAGAGTAGGACATACCAGCCTTCATTCCCCTTGCTGCCCTGCACCGCCCAAAAAATAGGTATCCACAAATCAAAATGGCACTGACAGGTCTCAAAGACCCTGTGTTAGTCTGTTCTTGCATTGCTATAAAGAACTACCTGAGACTAATTTATAAAAAAGAAGTTTAATTGGCTCATGGTCCTGCAGGCTGTACAGGAAGCATGGCTGGGGGGCCTCAGGAAACTTTCAATCATGGTGGAAGGTGAAGGGGAAGCAGGCATGTCTTTCATGACTGGAGCAGGAGGAGGAGAGCAAATGGGAAGGTGCTACACATTTTTAAACAAACAGATCTCATGAGAACTCAGCCACTATCATGAGAACAACAACAAGGGAGAAATCCACCCCTACAATCCAGTCACCTCACACCAGGCCCCTCCTCATACTGAAAAATACAATCATCCTTTCTCAACAGTCCCCCAAGTCTTAACTCATTTCAGGATTAACTCAAAAGTCCACAATCCAAAGTCTTATCTGAGACAAGAAATTTCCTTCCACCTATGAGCCTGTAATATCCAAAAACAATTAGTTACTTCCAAGATACAATGGGGTACAGGCATTAGCTAAAAACTCTCACTCCAAAAGGGAGAAATTGGCCAAAACAAAGGGACTACAGTCTACACAAGTGCTCCCTCACTGGTAATTAAGAAGAAATTCTATCTTTATTTATTGTCCCTTTTTTCTCACATTCCACATCAAGCCCATTAAAAAATCCTGTTGTATCTACTTTCAGAGTATCTTTAGAATTCTACTTTTTTTTTTTTTGCCTTTCCCACTGCCACCACCTCGATCCAAGCCTCATCTCTCACTGTAGTATTGCCATAGCCCTTCTGTTCTCCCAGCTTCCAGCCTTAGTCCCCTAGAGCCTACTCTCATCTCAGCAACCAGGGTCATGTCATGTAATGTACTTGCCTCTGCTCAAAATACAACCAGAGTCATGTCATATGACGTACTTGCCTCTGCTCAAAATCCTCCAGTGTCACCCACCTCACTCAGAGAAAATGCCAAAGCCAGAACAATGTGGGCCTGCTGTTCGTTTCCTAGTGTTCTGCTGCTTGCTCACCTTCTTGGTTATCCTCCTACTCATCTTCTTGTTCTTCTTCTTGCTCACCTCCTTGCTGTTCTGCATGCTTTCTGTTCTTGCTTACCCTCCTTTCTCACCTTATTTTCCTCCTTGCTCACCTCCTTGCTTACTCCCTTACTCTCCTTACTTATCTCCTTGCTTACCTCCTTACTTTCCTTGCACACCTCCTTGCTCACTCTTATTGCTTACCTCCTTGCGTGTTCTCCTGGATCACCTCCTTGCCTAACTCACTGTTCTTTTCCTTGCTCACCTTCCATTTTCACCTCCTTGTTCTCCTCCTTACTCACCTCCTTGCTTGTCTCCTTACTCTTTTGCTCACTCTTCTTTCTCTCCTCCTTGCTCACCTTCATCCTCTTCTTCTTGCTGTCCTCCATGCTCTCCTCCTTGCTTACTCTCTTTGCTCTTTTCCTTACTCGCCTCCCAGCTGTCCTCCTTGCTCACTACATTCCAGCCCCAGTTGATCTTTTTGTCATTCCTTGAGCAGCCACACTCCCACTCAAAGGCTTTGTACCGACTTGTTCCTCTTCCTGAATCGCTCTTCCCCTACATATCCATGAGATTTCTTCCTTTTCTCTCTCCTACCCCTTCTTCAGGCATTCACTAAAAAGTCACCCTTTCAGTGAGACCTTCCATGATCACTCTACTGAAAATATTAACTCCATCTTCCAACAGGCTTTCATATTTCCTTCCCTACTTTATGTTTTCTTCTTAGCATCACACAACCTAACATTATACTTATCTAATTTACCACCCATCTGCCCAACTGGAATGAAAGCTGTGCAAAGACAGGGATGTTCTTCTGCTTTGCTCACTGTCTTATCCCCAGCACTAGAATAGGACCCGCCATATAGCATGAGCTCAAGAATATTGGTTGCATTGATGGATGAATGCATGAAAAGGTGGATGGATGAATAAACAATGGAAACAAAAACTTGACTTAATTAGTAGCTACATCATGAATGAATGACCACAAGATGGAGACATTCATTAATAAAATCTTATCCCTCCGTTTTGTTGTTTATCTGCCTCTTCCCGCCTGTATTTGTGTGTCTTGTTTACCTCAGTTTACCTCAGTTTCCCTCTGTCTGTTCATATCTGTCTGGGGCATGTGTGTGTCTTTTCTTCCCTTTTTTATTTTGCGTCATTTCTTGTAGACTTGGTTATATCATATTCTTTCTCTGTCCATGTAGTCTGCATTTGGCAATACAAAATAAAAGTTAGCACTTAAATTTATTTTGCCCAGGTTAAGGATGCGTCCAGGAGACAG